CCACCCTCTTTGTGCCCCGGCTCGCCCCCACCATTGTTAACTAACTCCACCAGGATGTGCCTGGGCAAATGGACGAGCTGGGCCTCCTTAGCCTCCCGCTGGGGGAAGGTTGGGGACACCCCCACACACACCCCCCGCCCACACAGGACAGGGTGATGAGAGAGCAGGGTGGTGGGATGGAAGATGGCTCGTGGTGGTGGGAAATCTTGGCCTCCCCAGCCCCTCTCCTAGCACACACACACACACTCATGCAGGCACACACACACACATACACACACACACACTTGGATTTTGGGCACTCTCTCACCAGTGCATGCCTGACATTGGGGGTAGGCGAGGTGGAAAGGCATACCCCTGTCCCCATGGGCCCTAACCCCTCTGTGTGTCCCTTCCCATGTCGTGTGCTTTGAAGTGAACGTCTGGAGTTCAGTGGCTGCAGGATTGCCCGCCGGGGCTCGGTCTCCCCCGAGCCAGGGCTCAGGTGGTGGTTGATTCTTCTGTTCCCGAGGCCTTGGCCCTCCCGAGACCCCTAAGGGTGGGTGAAGCTTGGGCAGAAGAGGCTTACACAGCACCTGGGTCCCCTCAGCAACCCATTTCCTTGAAGGAAACATTGCCTCCCCCCTAGATGGACAATACTCACTTCTTTCCATTTTCTTTCTGCCTAACACTCCTTTGTTTTTTCTCTGCAGTTTGTGTCTGTCTTCATCTCTCCGTCCCCAATTTTTTCCTCTCAGTTCCTCCCCCTGCCACTTCTCTTGCCAGTTAAAGTTGGAAAAAGTTCCTTCAGCTTTCCAAATCTTGGAAGCCTCCTTGCTGTCCCCTGCCACCCCCTCAGTCTCCTTCAGCAGGGTTTTTCTGATGAACATCAGTCTAGGGTGATGTTCTTCAGAAAATCTGAGGTGAAGCCATCTGCCCATCCTGTTATTTAGTCAGCGTCCTGTACATTGGGATACTGCCAACGCAGCTAAACCATGGCATGCATATAAAGCTGGGCCCAAGGAAACTGAGTTTTGCTGGGCTGAGGTAGGGAATTGCTTTCAGACACTCATGCCACAGGCAACAAGCAGCAGACATGACTCTGTGTGCCTGGGATGACAAAAAACAATTTAGAGTTGACCTTGGGAGCATCTGAAGGGTTGCCAGGTACTCCTGGTAGGTCCCTCCTGGAATGCGAGGTGACTGGAGACCCATGAGGCAATGCTCACCAAAGGCATGAGAGCAGGGGTATATGGGGTGCCAGTTTTCACAAGTGTATTGGGGAGCAAAACCAATGGCACAGGTATCAGTGCAAACCAGTTGCTTGAGCATGTATTTCAGGGTTGTGGTGGTCTGTAGGGCAGGCAGCCCCATTATCAGTTACTTGTGTGAGCAAGATCAGCACATCTCAACCTCTTCCTATGTGTGGATCCATGGGTGTCACTTTGAGGAAGCGTGAAATGGCAAATTTCAGCTTAATGACAATATTGGCTCTCCCTTGGCTTTTGTGGACACCTTTAAAGTAATTCACAGGCCCCACATTGACAGCCACTGAGCTGAAATGGTGGAGATTTAGGTAAAGTTGCCTCTACACTATACAAACACCTTCAGCTGCTGGACTGATGTAGCCAGAGACAGGAAACTCACCCACAATTTGAAGGCCCTAATGCACCATACAAGATCTCTGACAAAAGTCATCTTGGAGAAAAGGAAATGGCACTTTCATCCTTTATCTCTACAGTAAAAGCCTATTCTTTATAGGACAAAGCACAGGGAATTTCTTAAGAGGCCTGCTTCTGCCCTTTTACCCAGCTGAACTATTAGGTGATCTCGGGTCCCATCTGACTCACCGTGAAGGACATTTAAATGAGAGTGTAAATTGCAATAAGCTTCGCAAAAAAACAGTAGAGATTTGGAGAAGATGACAGGTCAAATAAAATTACTGGCTTATTAAAAGCACAGAATGGCTGAAAGATGTAGCTGGAAAAGGACTCTGGAGGTCTCTAGTCTAAGCACAGGTTGAGTCTCCGCTTATAGCAGGGGATATTATTGCTTTACCCTAGATTGGTCTATTACTGAGCCTTTTCCTTGTTCAGGCTCCATTTAAGGCTTTGGTGGACATTCAAGCTGCGGGTGGACAGAGGTGGGCAGGTGGCTGTTCCTGCCTGCTGCCCCGCTCACCACGGCCCCCGCCAGATGAGGGCAGCTCAAGGCTGTTCCCCCTCTCGCTGGCACATCATCGCTGGGGCAGGCCGTCTGCACGCAGTCTGCAAGAGGCTGCACTGCTTATTGCTGGCAGTTTACAATATAATGCCTTCAACTGGTTTAAGTAATCTTCCAGACCAGATTAATTAGATTTCTCTTTGATCAATAGTGCTTGTTGAAACAAGGCCAGAGTTTAGACTCTACCACTTCAAGGGCTGTCCTTGGACTTTCCCTTTCCACACGCTGAATGGAGAGAAGGTCTGTAAGAAAGCGGCAGAGCACCGCAGGAGCCATAGTGAAAACGTTTTCCAACACTCAGTGTGGGGAAGCCCTGTGCTCTGCTGGCCAGGCTTTTGTGAACTCTACAAACAAATCAGATTTTGGTGTTTTGGGCTTTTTTTCCCCCCTCTAACGTGTCTCTGTTTTTGTTAAAAGTATCTCCAGGGAATGAAGCCTTTCACTGATGCTGTGGTAAGGGGGAAGCTGGGGAATGCAGTAGAGAAAACTCTTACAACGACAGAAGCTTGGATATGCTGAACATCTTTTCCAAGACCATTTTTTCTAGCCAAATATGTTTTTACGACAGTCATTCACTCTCTGACACAAAACAGGTTAGATATGGGAAACAACTTCATTGTCCTGCCCAAACTTTCATTGCTACACTTTTTCCCTGGAACAAAACATTCACAGCACGTGTGGACACACGAGCTTCTTCCAGTCAATAAATAATCTCACTGCATCTGTTTTTGTCATGGCTGGAGCCTTATAAACCGTCCTCCCCTACGCAGACTGGAGCCAGAGTGTGCTTGCAGTCTCTTCCCTGGCACAGGCTAATACTCGGTGAAATGCACACACAGACGGGTTGACAGCACCAAGTATCAAGCCAGGGCAGAGGCCAGCATCTTCTCAGTCACAGCCCATCAGGTTTCCCTGTCTTCTAGGTGACTGGAGGAGAAAGATCTGGATTAATTTTTTCCAGTGGAAATTTTACAGAGAGAAAGGTGTGCAGGGAAAACGACTGAAAATGTTCATAGCCTTGGACTGAGCCTGCCCAACATTTCTGTGCAATTAAAAGGAAACATCCAGGTGGGCTGGTTGAGTTGAAGGCACCGTGTCTGTGCTGAGCTCCTGGAGGGACGTGGCTTTGTTAACGCAAGGGTGGTCTCTCTGGGAGTGCAGTGGGAAAGGGGGAAGGTCTGGGGGAGAAACTCTCCCCTCCACCCTGTATTTTTTCAGGGCAGGAACTGGAGTTTCCCTCTCTTTACCCAGCAGAGTGGCATGACCAGAAGGCCAAATCCTGCTTGGGCTTTCCCATCTGGTTGGTTGTGATTGGTAGGCAGGGGAGCAGACCCCTGGTGTGTGCTTCCACAATGTTCCTCTGGTCCAGTTTACAGGCAGTCACATCCAGCCAAGCATCCCACGGCTTCAGAGAGGGCTATCTACCTCTTCCTCAATGGCACCTAAGTGCCCTTGCAAATCTGGTCCCTTCATTCCCCACTCCCTTTCCCGATGAGGAAAAGTACTTGGAAAGGAGCAGTTTTGCTCATTCCCCACAAATTCTCAAACACGGTCACCTTCAGACTGCTCTGGATTGAACTATGGCACAGCCTTAGAGCCGAGTCCTGCAGCACAAAAGCCCTGGGCCAAACTCCAGCTCCCCGATTGCACCCCCGCTGATGTCTCACTGTAGTCCTGGCCCTACCTTGGCAAGACCATAGAGGGGGGCCCCCTTCCTTTGCCGACTGCTGGCTCTCTACTCCTTTTTTCCTGTTGTTTTCCCTCTCCCACTGTTTTTCCACTTCCCACTCCTGTCCTGTACCGCGGTCGCCCTCCTAGTTATCTCTCCCCTCCTGCTGTTTCGCTCTCCCCATTCCTTTCTTGTTCTCCCTTTGCCACTCGGTCTCGTTCTGCCGCGGTTCCCATCCTCCTCTCCGTCCTCCCTCCTGCTTCCCTGCTCAGTCTCGCTCTTCCCCCTCCCCTGCCCTTGTGCGCTGTGATATATATTTTTGTAGGATTTCTCTTCTCCTCGTGGTGAAATATTCAATTCTTGTGGGATGTTAGTTTCAACATTTTTAAATAAACCTTTGCAAAATACTGAAAGCAGAGCTCTTGCTGCTGTGGAAGAGGCTGTAATGGAGATGTCAGGGTGGGACGACAGGGACTTCACCCCGGGGCAGACCCCTGTGGGACAGGGTCTCAGACATATGGCATCCCACAGCTTCCTGTGGACGGGCGGATGGGGCGATTTGGCCCCACGTCGGTCTTGCCTTGGTCTCCTTGCTGGCCAAAGAGGCCCTTTGACCCTCCTCAGGCATTTCCATGAGAGGTGGCCCTTGATGGAGGAGGCCTCGCACAACCACTTCTCCACCCAGCACGGCTGTTCTGCCTCTGGAGCTGCTGCCTCCCAAGACACGCTTTGGGGCTGCTTGTCACACACCAGTTTGTGCTGGGAGCCAGGGTGGCCGGGAGAGGTGAGAGAAGCTGAGGGGAAGGGAGGGAGACGGAGCGATGCAGGCGCAGAAGCCTCCCTCACTCTGTTCCCCGCGGCTGCCTCCGCAATTTCTATTTACAGCCT